ACTCGACCTTGGTTAAGAAAATGTGATCTCAAGGTTCGGACTCGACCTTGGCATATCAAGGTTCGAACTTGACCTTTGGTTAAGAAAATTTGATCTCAAGGTTCTGACTCGACCTTGGCATATCAAGGTTCGAACTCGACCTTGGTTAAGAAAATGTGATCTCAAGGTTCGGACTCGACCTTGGCATATCAAGGTTCGAACTCGACCTTTGTTAGAAAAATGTGATCTCAAGGTTCGGACTCGACCTTAGCATATCAAGGTTCGAACTCGATCTTGGTTAGGAAAATTTGATCTCAAGGTTCGGACTCGACCTTGGCATATCAAGGTTCGAACTCGATCTTGGTTAGGAAAATTTGATCTCAAGGTTCGGACTCGACCTTGGCATATCAAGGTTCAAACAAGGAAAATGTGATCTCAAGGTTCGGACTCGACCTTGGTCTTGCTTTCCTTGTGGTTTGTCGCGAATTGCCTTGCGGAACTCGGCATGCTCCTTCAATTTGGATGTAGCCAGCAACACGAGCACAGAGCTTATCCATGTCGCGGGGGGCTTCTCGGCACAGGCTGTCAACGAATGGTCCCAACTTGAGTGCCATGAGCATGGCGTGTAAGGTGACCTCGGGATTCAAGTTGCGAATCTTCACCGAGATGCCAGCATAACGTTCCATGAACGTCCGTAGTGGTTCGCCGTCGCCCCGTCTAAGGCTGGCCAGAGCAGCCGACGTTACGAGGTGAGGTCGACTCGTTGCATACTACACCGTGAATCGTCTGACTAGAGTGCCGAAGCTGTCAATTAACTTGGCAGGTAGCTGGGTATACCAGTTGAGTGCGGCCCCTTTGAGCGAGGTCGGGAAGACCCTACACAGAATAGTATCCTCATTAGTGTAAAGGTTTACCTGTGTGATGTATAGATCGATGTGCTCGTCCGGGTCTGTTGTACCGTCGTAACGGTCGAGGTGGAGAGGCTTACACCCAAAAGGGAGAGGTGTCTCCATGATACCGTCCACGAAAGGATGACGGCGGAAGGTCGTCTGATTCCCCGTGCCGTGGGCGGGAGCGTTGTTGATGTCGTGCGCCGACCTGTTCGTCGGTGCGTGAGACCGATGTGTGGCATGCTTGGGAGTCGGTGCCCTAGCCGCCGTTGGCCATTGAGAAACCGAGTGCCCTTCGTCCTCATTCAGGTTACTCTGTAGAGGGGGTTGATCTGAGTGACGCCGAGGGAGTTGAGCACGAATACGCTCGTTCTCGGCACGTAGTGACGCTAGGTTGGCTTCATTAGCGGTACGCATTGCCGCTAGGTCAGTTTCATGCTTGGCACGGATGTTGCGCAGATCGGCGTCGTGTTGTTGCCGCATCTGTTCGACCTGGTCGATCAGTCTCCTCAATGTGGCTTCGTTGTCCATGGTAGCTGTGTGATCTGCGTCGTTTTTTGCGCGTCTGCTATGGCTTTTGGTGAATACCATAAGTGTGGCCGATAAGAGCTGTCTTGATAGGCCCCACGGTGGGCGCCAAATGTTCTTACCAGAATTTGGTCGTAGAGGTGATCCATCCAGTAAGATCGGTGAGCCTCCTTTGCTGATACGCTGGTACTCCAAGATGGGGGAGGTACCTGCAAAAGAGAC